GTTGGGATGCTCTGCAAGATTTGAGTAGTGATGCCAGGTGCAGAAAGTATGAAGATAGGTTTGCTTTGTGATGTCTCGGGCACTGCACATTTTGACAAGCAGCGAAGGATGTGAAAATAACTTTGTGGCTTAACCTTGTGTGTACCTGAAATTATTGTCCACAGGCTTCTTGAGCTCTCTTTCAGGCTTGGTGCTGTAATTCCTTCCCTGGGGGCCACTGGAACAGGCTCCTGCTGTGGCTCCTAGGGATGATCCTTTGCAGGGCTGGGAGTTGGACTCGATGGTCCTTGTGGGTACCTTCCAACTCAACATCCTCTGTGGTCTGTGCAGCCATAGTGTTCCCTGAATAGAATGGATTTAGGCTTCTACTGTATCTGACTTGCTTCTGGCTTGAAATAGGTCATCGTCTTTATTGCATTGTAAGGGAGTGCTTATTTGCAAAATTAATGCACAATTATCCACAATAGGCAGATTCAAGTTGATATATTCCAGTATATCTGGAATATTTCCAGTTGTCTGGCTGCCTGTGTCTATGTTAGCCTGCGTCAGCTTCCTTGTGTCAGCAGCACTAAAAGGAGAATCAAATCTAATCTCTTGTGATAGAGAATAACCTTAACCTAATGCTACAAGATAGGCCAGAAACATTTATTTGATGCTTTTTTTGGAAAAATGATATGGTTATCCAAGCTGTAAAGGATTCATTACTTTTTCATGGAACTACAGTTTAAACAGTGTCTCAAATCCCCATTCTGTTTCCTCTGGAAAGAGACCAGACTTGCATGTGGGCAGTACTGGATGCACTGCAGGTTTACTTCAAAATGCATTTACATTTCCAGCAACTGTCTCTGAGGCTGGCTGGCATCAGTTTTTGTATTTCTGTAAGATACTTGACAATTGTGGTTTTATGTTTTCCTACAGGTGTGGGTTTCATAAACATAGTGGAGTGCTCATAAGAATAAGAAAAAAAATATGTCTGTTCTTTCTTAATAACTTTCAGGCAGTTTTCTTTTACTTCTAAAAAATTGTGAATAAAAAGTGGACAAAGGGATTACTTTAATCTTTAAAAACTTGGGTTTATTTTGTGGTGTAGGAACAAGCTCTTTGGTCTGGAACTGATTGATAAAAGGATTCCATATGCCATGGTGTTGGTGTCTCTGTTGTTAGGCAGTTCTTTGGTGTTGTCTTGGAATGTATGTGCTTATGGGCTGTGAGACCCTTGCTGGGCCATTTTTGCACATTTGGGTTTTATTTGGACACTTTAAAGAAACATATGTATCTGTGAGTGCTGCTGAACTCCAGAGATGTAATTCTGATGAACTTAGCATTCCAGGGTGTTCTGCACAGCCAAGATGGGGCTCTGTCTTGGCTCAAGGTCTGCAAGGCTGGGCTGTGCTCGTCACACAAACCAAGCTGAGTTGTCTGAACGAGCAAGTCTGCAAGGAGGAAAGATGGGCTGAAGTTGCTGGCTCTGCTGGCTGTGAAAAGGCAACAGGGATGGTGGATTTTTTTGTGAGGCAAAAGCTGTGGGTGCTGTGCTGGGCAGCAGCAAGCTTTTCTGAGTCATGTGAGGTCACTTGTTCTGGGTTCCAGTGAGGAAAAAACTTGAGTTCCTTCAATTCAATTGAAGTAGCAACTGATCTTGTGTAGTAGGATGCAGTGTGCCTGCACAGGGGTTCATTCTCAAGCCAGATACTTTAGGATTGCTCTGGATCACAAAAGCTCTGTCTTAGTACATTCACAGATGCGGGAAGCTAGAAGGTAAATTTGCTCTAAGTAAATAGCAGTACAAATTGCCACTTAAAAGGAAATTGTGAAGCTTGGAAATTTGTTATGGCATATGTGTTCTTGTGCTAGAATATGTGTTTTTGGCCTAGAATATGCTAGTCAATACTAGATTTGTGAAAGTTCTCATCTTGTCAGAAGACTTGATGAATATGGCACACAAAATAGCTTTTCCATTTCTATGAGCAACAAGTAATTATTTGTTGCTATGGCTGACTTTGATTAATTTCCTTCTCCCTTCAGTGTACTTTTAAATGTATGAGGAGCTTTTCTAAGATTATAGAATCAATATTAAGTTTGCCTGTAGGGTTCACTTATGTCAAGGCTCTTGGTTTCCTGCACAGATACATATTAGGTAATTCAGGACAATGTTTTTGGTTCCTCTGAGGAATTTTATCTTCTGTTAGACTGTAATTTCATCTTCTTCAGGTGAAGATATTTTTATTGTAGACTGGTAGCTGGCAGCAAGTTTAAAATTTTTTCATCAGTCTTAGAATCACAGAATGGTTTGGGTTGGAAGGGACCTTAAAGATCATCTTGCTTCAAGTTCCCTGTCATGGACAGGGAACCTTCCACTAGACCAGGTTACTTAAAGCCCTGTCCGACTGGGCCTTGAACATTGTCAGGTATGGGGCACCCACAATTTTGCTTGGCAGCCTAAATTAGTTGGGTTCCACTTGTCATGATATAACTTTGGAGGAAGATCTCTGCCCTTGTTGGAGGCTATTTGGTTCTCTTGCCATCATGTCCAAAATTACATGCTTCCATTGTGCATATTGCTAGTGGTATTACATTTGTTATTTGGTATCTTTACTGTAAGAGAAGAGAGAAGCAAAGTTCTGGTTATGGACACAAAATAGAAAATAATATGAGCAGGGAAGTTACTCATTATTGATATTGAAAAAAAAAAATATTCGGAAACTCATGTGGCAGGGGCTCCTTCTTCTTGGCACTGAGGCCTCACCTGCAGTGCTGTGTCCAGTTTAGGGCTCCCCAGTACAAGATAAATGTGGCTGTACTGGAGGGAAGAGCTGTGCTGGCTAGAGTGTCCAGTGAAGGGCCACAAAGATGATGGGCAAATGGAAAATGGAGCCAGGCTGTCTTCAGCAGTGCTTGGTGGCAGGACCAGAGGCAGTGGACACAAAATGAAATACAGGGGGTGCCTTCTGAACATCAGGAAACGTTTTTTACTGTGAGGGTGACTGAGCGCTGGCACAGCCTTAGGGAGGCTGTGGACTCTCCATCCCTGGAGATACTCAAAAACCATCTGGACAGGGTCTTGGGCATCCTGCTTGAAGAGGAGCTTGGATCAGATGACCTAAAGAGTTCCCTTTCTACCTCAAATTCTCCTGCAATTCTGTCTTGCTTTGTCGGCCAAAAATCTTTCCTCTTCATCTTCCCCATTGCCAGGCAGTCAAGTGTAGTAAATTGTTCATTTACATGAGGAAAACCTTTGCTGGGTAAAATTGCCAGAATAACCAAATAATAGACATTTCCTTAAGTACTAATAAACCTATTTCTGGTAGTCCTGAGATAATTGCTAAGATTGCCAGGAATTCTCAATACATGCAGCCCAGATTAACAGCATGTTACAAATTACATGGTAAGCAAACGTTCTAAGCCTTATACTGAACAGGTTAATTGATATGGTGTTGATTCATGCTTGTTCTTTTCACCAAGCATACAACTAGTTCTTGCCATCTTGGGAAAAACTAGCCAAATACAGAAAACCTCTTTGCTGCTGGTTGGCAGTCCTAGGTTCACTGATAAATGACTGCAAGTTGAGAAGCAAGTTGACTCCCACCATTGCCTCAAGGGAATTTACATACAGAATACTTGAGTAGCACATTCTTTGGTATCCCCCCACTCTCACTCTTTGTAGTTTGGTTTGCTTGTTCCTGAGGAAACTATTTTTGCTCAACTGCAGCTTCTTGATGAAGTCTTTGTTCTGGTATCTGTTCCAAAAATTGGGCTAGAAGTGAATCAATCATTAGTTTACTTCAGGAAATTGCTGGCAGATAACTGATATCCAGAAATAGAATGGGTAAATAAGGTGATGTGCAAAGTGCAAGTTCATTATTTTAGAGTTTGTTTGTTTGTGAGCTTCTCAATTTACATATTAAAACTTGTTTTGATCCATCTTGGATTGCATCTTATTATTCGTGCCTACTTTAGAATATGAAATTATTTGCATGGGGTTTTTTTTGCAGAGGTAGGTTGTCACAATTTGTACATTGAGACCTGATCTTGAGACTATGTATTACATATTACAATCCATTAATTAGAAAAGAGATAGTTAAAAGATTCCTGTTACCTTTTCCAGTCTGTCTTTAGAAGAAGCACTCTGGGGATGCTTTTTAGAGCATCCTGCCTCTAAAAACTTGATTGAATAATTTTTTTCTGATAAGTAGTCAGAATAACAGTATGTATGAAGGAGCAATTCTCCTCTCTTCCTCCCTCATCCTCTGCTATAAATTTCTAATTTTGCTTGGACTTGCTTCTTACATCAGAGTAGCATTATTTAAAGGCTCGTTTTTGTGCTTTGCTGCCTATTTAGGTATAAATTCAGATTCATGATACTGTTCACCTGTAGGTAGTGTCCAAGTCCTAAAGTGAACTCTTTCCAGTTGTGAAGAATGAGTAGCAACATGAGTGGTTTCACAGTACAATGCTGTAGGTCATGTCTGTGCACAGGAGGTAAATGTCTTGTTCAGGTCATGTCCAAGGTCTGTAGCTTGCAGGGTAGACTGAATATGGATGTTGAGACATAGAAAATGCTATTTAAAATCAAGAGATCCTATTGCCATGTGAATAGAACTCTAGGTATGGCATTGTGAGTATTGTTAACACACGTAGGTAAGGTTTAATAGAAAAACTCCTTCACTGAATTTTGTAATACTCTGGAAATTGGTTTGCAAAGTCTTGCAAGGAAAATATGTAACATGATTGATTAACAAGAAAAACAAACCAAAAACAAACTTCTTAGAAGTTATTAGTTGAATGGGTCCTGAATTTTAAGACCAAATGTAAGTTTTCTGTGTATTTCAGAAGTAAACTATTACTGACACTGGATGAACAGGATAGCCTTTTGTACTCGTTTATTGATAATTAAAATTTTTATTATGGACTTCTCTTACTAAATATTGAGAGATTCTTGTTTTGTTCTAGAACAGATTCTCTAGGCTTCCTTTAATGAATAAAAATATTTTCTGTTCTAGGTATGGAACATCAAACAGATGATTAAATTGACACAAGAACATATAGAAGCACTGCTAGACAAATTTGGAGGAGAGCATAACCCGCCTTCAATATATTTAGAGGTAAGTTTACATTCAAACAAATGTGGTTATAGATTAGGTGTGTTATCTTATGTGAAGTATCTGAGGTTAAAACTGAGAATACCTATTTTAAAAGGGTATATTCTCCTTGTGCATTACAAACTGAGCTCTCTTCTAAGAGATAGAAAGGAACTGTATGGAATTCCTGGGAATTCAATAGGGGACGATCAGTGGCATGCTGTAATAATAATGTTGGTGCAATAGAAATGTCAAGCCTCTTCGTAGGGGGCAGGGGAGAGAAGATTGTGTTTATAATGAAGAAAGTCATGCTGTGTTAAAGCCAATATATACACATGAAAACATTTTGTAAGACTAACTTTGCCTTTAAAGCAGTTGACTTCCCTTTTTTGTCATTGAAAAATGGTCATGTATAATCCAAAAAATTGCATTAGTAGAAGGGGACTTCTTACAGAAATAGATAAAATTGTGGGGTGGAGTAAAATTTTAAAGCCATTTTGAATTTTTAAGCTAACTACAAATTCATTGTCTGTATTTTTTCATCACTCCAATTCATAGAGTTGCATTGACACAAGACCATTTAGAGCTTAAAGAGCTGCATGCAAAAGTTACCTCTATTAGGAATTGAAGGGGCATCATGTGCTTCAAACTTGCCCTTTTTGTGCTTCCCTCAAGTATTGAAATAACTGGAGGTCAACCAGATTTCTTTTCTAGTCCTTGTATTTGCAATTGCTGCCTAAAGGTATTGGATAATTAAAAATAAAGATCTCATTATTTGAGGTACTTCTAGCTTTTATCTTAATATGTCAGAGCAGGGCACTAGGTTGATTATACAAATGTTGACATTACGTCCTGAACAGTTAAGGTCAAATGAGGCCCTTGGTAGTTGTTTTACTTATTGCTAATGTGAAATGGGAGCATTGAATCAGTGCTATCAGTGTTTTATCTGCCCTGCTACATTTAAGCACACCTCTGTTCTCACAAGGACTGGTTCATTCCTTATGTTTGGATTTATTTCCACATGCAAGTGGGTTTTGTTAGATTGTGTATCAAACTGCAAAAATAATGAACTTAGTCCATGCATATGCATCTCTAAGTCTGGATTTAAAGTAGGGAAGTTGTTAGTTCAGCTATTTGTCACTTGCTTTTATTGAAACTAAAACCAAGATACATTACTGGAAGCTCTGTGTTTGTGTTGTAGGTCATTGATAGGGAAAAGAGCATTTGCAGTCATAAATAGGTACTAGGAAATTATTATGACAGCATGAAGAGTAAGTCTGAAATAGCTGGTGACCACAAGTCATGCATCTGAAAGCAGATTTGCAAGCTGAATGGATCCTGGTGCCACTGAGCTGAAGCTCCAACTCTGGCTCATCAGCGTGGCGGGGCAGCTCCGTGAGGCAGAGCAGGGTGTTCCTCTGCTGCAGTGAGCTCCACTGGGTCATGAGCATGTCTTGGGACAGGTAGTGCTGGTACTGACTAGGGAGCCACAAGCCATTGGGTGGAAGGTGAAAGGGCTGACTTTGTGCTTTTGCAGTTGTTATCCCATAGGACAGTCCTGTGGGAAGAGCCCACCATGGCTGACATGAAAAGCTTGTTCTGCTATGCAGTTGCCCACCTTCCTTTGTTCAGATACTTGCAGTAATGGCAGTGACTAAGCCTAACAGTCACTAACCTGTAAGGAAAATACCCTAGTTTTGTTGGATTACTTTACCATCCAGGTAGTAGTTTAAACTGATCATGACGAAGTCAGTGAGCTGCAAAGCTGTGGTTAAGATTAGGGAAGGGAAAGAGTTGCAGCCATGAGCCAAGAACTAGAAGATGGGGTGAGAGAGGAAAAGAACTTTTTATTTGAATGGTCACTAGCATAGATTAGATCATCCTCAGATGCATTTATCAAGGTGAACAGAATTAAATGCTGCAAACCTGTAATTTGTTTAGTGTGTAGACTTCCTCTGGTAGAACTAAAGTGTGAAAGGAAAAAAAAAGAAGAAATCTATTGCTGAATGCCAGATACAGGTAGAAGCAAGTTTACTCTCTACCTTCGACTGTTAATTTCAGTCCAGCAGCAGTTGTCTAGTGTGTCCTTTCTGTGCATTTCCCACCTTTTGGCTTGGTCAAGACAGGGCTTGCTTTCTGTTCTGAGCATTTACTTGGCAGAAATTTATCTGAATCTAAGCTGTTCCTGCTAGAGCTCATGTTTTGACTTCCTGTATTCCATCACTTGTCAGAGAAAGGGCCAGAAAAACTCTGGTTGCAGTACAGAAGAACAAAGCTATATGTAAAAAGTTTTCAATGTATTGTGATAAAGTGTGAAAGAACATGTTTGCCTCTAGCAAAGGCAGAACTAAGAAAACATAGTGGTTTTGATACAAATAAAAATATGTCTGTCTGATGTGTTAGGAATAGCAAACTTCTCATGTACAGAGTTAATGTGTAATACTGGGTCTGGGGCTCAAGTTCTGTCATCAGAACTTGAGGGTGTCATCACTGACTTCTGTGGAGGGCTCCTCTTTCCCCTTCAGCTCTTACCTGTAGTCTGTGGGTAGGTCTGGATGTGGTCTGTGTAGTCTCACCACAACGCTTGTGTGGGAAGGTAATGGAACTTAGGTTCCATCCATCATCTTCTGATCTTTCTATTTTTATTGCTTTGCCAAAGACTCATTTCTGGCTGTAATATAGTCCTGCTTTTACCCAGAATCTGTATGAATAATTTTGCTAGTGTGTTTCATGAACTGCATCACCCTTCCCTTTGTTGCCTTAGATTCATAGAATGGGTTGGGTTGGAAGGGATCTCGAAAGGTTGTCCAGTCTAACCCCACCTGCAACAAGCAGGGGCATCTTCAACTAGATCAGGTTGCTCAGAGCCCCATCCAACCTGGCCTTGAATGTTTCCAGGGATGGGGCATCCACCACCTCTCTGGCAAGCTGTGCCAATGTTTTACCACCCTCATCATAAGAGTTTTCTTTCTTGCATCTAGTCTGGATCTACCCTCTTTTAGTTTAAAACCATCAGCCCTTGTCCTGTAACAGCAGGCCCTACTAAAAAGTCTGTCCCCATCTTTCTGATAGGTCACTTGAAATATCAAAAGGCCCTTTAACTATTACAGGCTGAACAACCTCAGCCCTCTCATCGTCCTTGTCACCTTCTTTTGTACCCTATCCAACCTGTCAATGTCCTCCTCTTACATTGGGAGCCCAGAGCTGGGTGCAGCACTCCAGTGGGGTGTCACAAGAGGGGCACAATCACCTCCCTTGACCCACTGGCCACACTGCTTTTGATGCAGCCCAAGATATGGTTGGCTTTTTGGACAGTGAGTGCCAGCTCACGTCCAACTTTCCATCCACCAGTACCTGTTCTGCAGGGTTGCTCTCAATCCCTTCATCCCTCAGCCTGTGTTGATTAAAATTCTTCTCCTCCTCTGACCTCTTTGCATCTTCCATAGAATGTGAGTGACTCTTAAGGACTCCTTAAGAGAGAGTAGATTGTGTCTCTTGATCATCTCTTGAAGTTGCAAGCAGGTTGTCTTCTTTTAGCAAAAGTCTGAATTAGCCAAAACTAAATGCTAGGTAAGCATCTGCAAATGAGCACTTTTGCTTACACCCATATTGCCTTTCACTAGATGTAAACATCTAGTTTTATTGTAATGCTTCCTGCAAAAGTATGGCTATTTTTATTCTTCTGACAAGTTTGACAGCTATCCATCCATCTTCCAGTGTGTAGATTTTCAGTATCATAGATTGTTTGGTTCTTTTGTACTCCTGTCTGGCTTTACATCTTTAATTTACTACAATTCTCACTACCTGCTCGTGTGCACAGAACTTGCAGCACCCTGTACACTGGCTCCTGGCCTGTGTTGGATCTGGCTCTGAAGACCTGTGAAATGAACTTGTGGTTGAACCTGGTGAAAGCATTGCCTTTTCAGTTAAGTGGAAGGAGAGGTTGGAGAGAGCAGAAGCTCATGAGAAAAGTGAAGAATTCAGCAAGAAAATAAATCTGAAAATTGAGCATGCAAAGGTTATAATAAAATTATTTGTGCATTGAATATAAAACATACATCTCATTTAAAAATAAAAAGGAATTTATGCCTTAGCTACTGTTGCTCAAGAAATAGAAGCTTTTGTTTCTGTGTTCATCTGAGAGTCAAGACAAAATTTTCACCCTTCTCAGATTTAATTTTTTCCCAAATTCAGGAGAGGGTGTCAATGCATTTTACGTCAAAAGAGCTTTAAAACTGACAGCTGTTGTTGCAACCATCATTTCAGGTTTCATCAACTGACTGCAAAAGAGGAATGCTTTTCTTGAAATATTGAAAATGATTGACTTGTGCTGTGTTGAATTCAGCATATATTTAATTATTCCTGCAAGAAGGGATACTCAAATTTAGGGGTATCTCCCTGCCTTGATCCATTACTCCTCAGTGATGGCCTTATGAAGGTCAGTGTGCAGCAGAGGGAGTAGAGCAGAGCATGGAAGCCTGGGTGGAAAATAGTGTGAAGCTGGAGGGCAGCAAGTTGCTTGCCCTGGTCCTCCCTGAGCAGGAAAATTAGGGCTCAGGAGGGAGACCAAAGCTGCAGAGAGAGTTTTGAGTATGTGTCTAAGGTACAAGGGGAGGAAACAAAATGTACAAAAGAAAGAAAAGAACATTTGTCATTAATCACACAATTTTCTTCTAATCATTATAATTAGTAATAGCTTTGGGAATCTTGTCAATGTTCTCTAATGTGATGGTAAGAAAAGCTTTTCTGTTTGTTCTGTCTGGAAGAAAGAATAAACCTAGTAAGCAATGACTGTATTAAAATCCAAAAATGGCTTGTAGCCAAATTTCCTTCTTATATAATCTTGGCTTTTAACTTTTCCTATTTGCTGTATGTGTCATCAGCTCAAACAGACCCCTGGAAATCACTGTTAAACCACAGAATGGTTTGGGTTGGAAGCGACCCTAAAGATCATCAGGTTGCAACCCCACCTGCCATGGGCTGGGCACCTTTCAGTAGACCAACTTGCTCAAAGCCCCATCTAG